ACTGTATTCAATGCTACATGTATATATATATATGCATATTCAAGCCTTGAGGTTGTAAAAGTGCTTGTACGCTGTGTTTTACGTTGCAGGTACATGTCCTCCGTTCCTAAAGCCATGAAACCATTCACCTCACCTCACTTGCCATAAACTCAGGCTCCGGGCCAAATCAAACAAAGATTGGGCGATGGCGCATCCTGCCGTCACTGCTTCGGAGCCCGCCCCCCACCACTCACCACAAATAAAATGGACCAAGGAAGCAAGGAAAGAATCAAAGAACTCATGGAAACTGACAGAACCCCTTGGCGCTTTACGCTTGATTTACTATTCCAGAATTTATGGTTGTACTGCGGGGAACAACCCCGAGAACAAGTAGTTGATGTGATTTTGCTGCCGAGACTTGGAGGACTCCAGAATACTTCTCTGGGCATATTCAATCAATCAAGATAAGTAATTATATATAGATAGACTAAAAAAAAACATGCAAACACACTTGCATCTGAAAATGGAGTACACCCAAATGTGATTGTTCATCATCATTTTCATGCGTAAGAAATTTCAAGATTTTTGGGATGATTTTTGAGGTGTAGATTAATCCACTTCAACAATTCTATTCCGAATGTTATGTGAGTATTCAGCAATGTCAGCAATAGGATCCATCCCCAATTTGGCCATATTTCTGGGTGGCATAAACCATATATATAATAATAACCAGCGAAGCCCGAGGCGTAGGAATTTCAACACCAGTTTGAAAAGCGAACATTTTTTTTGAATTCTCACACTTCTCCGGGTTCACCGCAAAATTCTCACACCAACAGGAAATTCTCACACTTGTTGTTTTTTTTTTCTGTGTTTGAGGCGGTTCATCCCGAACAGCAACACACACTTTTTTTTATGTTTTGTCACTCTTAGCATGGTCCTCAGGGGCCTACTCATCAAACATATCAACTGGATAAAACATGCTACCAAACTAGTTGCGATGGAGGCAGTTGTCATCGCAATATCCCAAAGCAGCTAATTATTCATGTGTTTGTCACGTTATCACTGACACTTGCACTTCCCAAGGGTCTCCATGTGTTTGGCATTTGGGAAATGTATTTGCGTTCCGTTCGATGGGGTCAAAATTCCTAAAAACTATGGTTTGGAAAAAGGTTTTTTGATGAAGCATTCTGAAGCACCATGTTTTTAATGTTGATACAAGTTGGTTGAATACATACTATACATGCATTTTCTCCGGGTTTTCTCGCGTTTTTTTCTCACACCATCTCCGGGAATTCTCGCTCGTTCTCCGGGTATTCTCGCACCTAGTCCGGGTGTGGAATTTCTCCGGCTTTATTTTTGAATTTCTCTGGGTCTAGTGGCTCCAATTGCCATGCGCAATTTCACCCAAGCAGCGGCAAAAAAAGTCTTGGAGACATCCTGCGTCCTCACACTTTGAAAAAAAAACACATTTTCCAATTGAATGATGCCTGCACCAGCAACTGCACCTGCCCCGTTTAGAAACTGCGTGGCCAAAGTGGTAGGCGTGCCCCCATCATTGCAAAAAAACAAGTTCGGAAAAAAAACATCCCCACAAGAACACCAGAACTGTGCCAAATAGAAATGGCTGGTTGCAAGAAGCAATGGAAGGCAAGTTCCTAAGCAAACATACCAGAAACAAATGTCAGAATACCCTGCAGGCATCTCAAGTTGAGCCATTGCCACCTTCAGAACGCCACAGGAACCCCAAAAATGCATGTCGGAACAAATTCTCACACCAAATTCAACAGGCGGAGGAATTCCAACACCAGTAACAAAAACGAACATTTTTTGAAAAAACGTTGGATTTCCGGGTTTTTGGGCTTAGCTGGAATATATATATATACATATAATATTATATATATCATATAATAATTATATATAATATGTATATGTATATGCATATTATATATATATTGTATTAATTATATGGTTTATATGGGTTTATGGCATTGCTTTACTACTGTAACACCTGGAACTCTGCTCCCTGCAAGGTGGCAGCCCTGGTCCTGAAGCCGGAAGACCCGCAAAGGGAACCTGGGCAAAATCCTTCGAAGTATCACGAAGGTATCTATGGAATATACCTGGTATTTCTATCTATGGTCTATACTGTATATTGTAGTTCTATCCATATTCTGATTCTATGTATATATATATATATACATATATATATATATATATCGATTGGCATTCCAAAGGTAGAATGAGTATCATGGTAGCAATATCGTCAAGTCATCCAACTTGAAATATCGTGAAATCGGCGATCCTTAGAAAAAGCCCGCCTTCGCTAGATGTCCCAATAATTAGAAGTTTAATATTGATACATATATATATATAATTATATATCCCATGATATACATATCCGCCGACCCCGGCAGACGCAAGGGGGAGCGCGCCAGGGAATAATACTTTTGACCCTTGTTTCGGACTACTACCACTTCGCCAGCTACTACTATTACTACTACTTCTTCTTCTTCTTCTGCTTCTTCTTCTTCTTCTTCTGGAATTGCCTTTTGAACAGAAGGGGTAGCAGGAGCAGGAGCAGCAGCAGCAGCAGCAGGAGGAAAAAGTAGCTAAACTCATCTTTTTCTATGGGTTTCAGCCGTGTTTTTCCATCCGGGAGGCCTGCAGCACCAGCTCCAGCAGCAGCAGCAGCAGCAGCAGGCAGCAGCAGGCAGCAGCAGCAGGCCCAGCAGGCCCAGCAGGCCCAGCAGGCCAAAAGGCTATTTTTAATAGGATTTCAGAAGGGACGTTAGACACTTTTTTGGTGCGATTTCGTGGCGTGTCCGTCCTTCACTGCCATGGTGCTTTGGTGTGGCGGAGGATTGGCAAAAGACTATTTTTAATAGGTTTCAGAAGGGACGTTAGACAGTTTTTTTGGTGCGATTTCGTGGCGTGTCCGTCCTTCACTGCCATGGTGTTTTGGTGTGGCGGAGGGATGTTTTCAGCACCGGAGGCAGTACAAACGGAAAAGGTTGGCAAAATTGACAAAAGACGATTTTTAATATTGGCACCGGAGGCAGTACAACGGGAAAGGTTCGCAAAATTGGCAAAAGGCTATTTTTAATAGGATTTCAGAAGGGACGTTAGACACTTTTTTGGTGCGATTTCGTGGCGTGTCCGTCCTTCACTGCCATGGTGTTTTGGTGTGGCGGAATATTGGCAAAAGACTATTTTTAATAGGGTTTCAGAAGGGACGTTAGACAGTTTTTTGGTGCGATTTCGTGGCGTGTCCGTCCTTCACTGCCATGGTGTTTTGGTGTGGCGGAGGGCTGTTTTCAGCACCGGGAAAAAGGTTGGCAAAATTGGCAAAAGACTATTTTCATATTGGATTTCATAGGGAGAAGGGACGTTAGACACTTTTTTGGTGCGATTTCGTGGCGTGTCCGTCCTTCACTGCCATGGTGTTTTGGTGTGGCGGAGTATTGGCAAAAGACTATTTTTAATGGGGTTTCAGAAGGGACGTTAGACAGTTTTTTGGTGCGATTTCGTGGCGTGTCCGTCCTTCACTGCCATGGTGTTTTGGTGTGGCGGAGGGCTGTTTTCAGCACCGGAAGCAGTACAACGGGAAAAGGTTGGCAAAATTGGCAAAAGACTATTTTTAATATTGGCACCGGAGGCAGTACAACGGGAAAAGGTTCGCAAAATTGGCAAAAGACTATTTTTAATAGGATTTCAGAAGGGACGTTAGACACTTTTTTGGTGCGATTTCGTGGCGTGTCCGGCCTTCACTGCCATGGTGTTTTGGTGTGGCGGAGGGCTGTTTTCAGCACCGGAGGCAGTACAACGGGAAAAGGTTGGCAAAATTGGCAAAAGACTATTTTTAATATTGGCACCGGAGGCAGTACAACAGGAAAAGGTTCGCAAAATTGGCAAAAGGCTATTTTTAATAGGATTTCAGAAGGGACGTTAGACACTTTTTTGGTGCGATTTCGTGGCGTGTCCGTCCTTCACTGCCATGGTGTTTTGATGTGGCGGAGTATTGGCAAAAGACTATTTTTAATAGGGTTTCAGAAGGGACGTTAGACAGTTTTTTGGTGCGATTTCGTGGCGTGTCCGTCCTTCACTGCCATGGTGTTTTGGTGTGGCGGAGGGCTGTTTTCAGCACCGGGAAAAGGTTGGCAAAATTGGCAAAAGACTATTTTTAATAGGATTTCAGAAGGGACGTTAGACACTTTTTTGGTGCGATTTCGTGGCGTGTCCGTCCTTCACTGCCATGGTGTTTTGGTGTGGCGGAGTATTGGCAAAAGACTATTTTTAATAGGGTTTCAGAAGGGACGTTAGACAGTTTTTTGGTGCGATTTCGTGGCGTGTCCGTCCTTCACTGCCATGGTGTTTTGGTGTGGCGGAGGGCTGTTTTCAGCACCGGAGGCAGTACAACGGGAAAAGGTTGGCAAAATTGGCAAAAGACTATTTTTAATATTGGCACCGGAGGCAATACAACGGGAAAAGGTTCCCAAAATTGGCAAAAGGCTATTTTTAATAGGATTTCAGAAGGGACGTTAGACACTTTTTTCGTGCGATTTCGTGGCGTGTCCGTCCTTCACTGCCATGGTGTTTTGGTGTGGCGAGTGTGGCGGAGTATTGGCAAAAGACTATTTTTAATAGGGATGGTAACGTACATCCACCTCTACCTACAACAAGCTAGCTTTTAGTTATCTTCACTTGTCACCCCAGTCAATAGCCCTTCTGTGCCTCTGTACAAGCCGTCATGGGTTCCATGAGCAACAGTAAGAATCCCGTCGCCACTTTGAAATCCTACGAGCACCAGCTTCGTAGCCAGACCTCTTCATTCGCAAGAGAACAATGCTAAAGCAATCAAATAGTTCAGAGCCAATGATCAACATCGGAGTCTGCTCACTGCTCGCTGGCTTATGCTTCCCTTGACTAAGATACATCTCAGCTCGAACCTATCATCTCAGACTCTCCAAGTCTGAAAGATAAACACCGGGCTTTCTGTACTGATCTACAGGCTCATCCTGGCATCACACCAACATACCCTTCAACTCAGACGTTGTCGTGCCTGGGACTGCGACGTTTGCCGCCAGTGTCACTTCAACTTCTTTCACAAAGATCCCCTTCAATGGCTTCAACACCACATCTAATCCACGCTCCACCAACAATCGCGGGGATCTGCGGGCATACAGTGCACCACTCTCCTTCTGTGCCACCTCCACGCCAGAACGCGTCACATAGAATCCTTGCCACCGAGAGAATTCATCTTTGAGGTAATAGCTGCTCCCATGCAGGGTGATAACCACTTCCCGCGAGGACACGAATTGCGCGCACACTTTCAAGTGCCCTGCATAGCTCGGCCCCACACACTCCAAGGCTTTCCGCACATCAGGTTCCAATTGCGTCACCTCCACCTTCAGCCCGCATGCCCCCATCCAATCCTGCAGATTCACATCGCAATACTTCAAGACCTCCAAGGTCGGAACTGCTGTAGGAAGATCCGGTTGCTGATAGCGCCAACTCAAGAACTCCGACATGAAGTACATGGCCGAGGACACATTGGATGCCACTGTATAGATTCCAAAGCGCCATGGGCTGCTAGTTTCAGCCCGGCAATGTACCTGATCTTCCTGTTCCTCAGTTGTGAGCACAGCCATTTGTAGGCAGAAGATCGAAATCATAACCTCTACTGTCCTTTCCACCTAGCACCACTCACCCCTTCCCTTACACCTAAAAAAAACTCAGTGCCATAGCCGCCCCCTGCTTGCAATCAAAAAGCCAATTCATCCAGCGTCTTCGAGAAGCCTTCCAGCTTATGGCCCTTCACAAACTCTGGTAGATATTTCGACCCAAGCTGAAACAATGGCGATGGCCGCCCGGAGTCAGTCAAGGCCAGCATGTAGCAAGACTCTGCCGGATCGAAGTTGCCATTCACATGCGCGGCTGCATCGGCATATCGATGCACCTGCAGAGTCAGCCCCTGTGACACCTTCTGACGCTTCTTTGGGCTAAGCTTCGGTGCTGGACCCTCAGACATGGCACAGACGACCCAATCAAACTCCACACACCGTCTGTCCTGCTCGAGCCCAGATACAACACTGTTCCCTTCTTCAGATCTCTGATGAATGCATTTGTGGTATAGACTTCCCTTCTGCCTTGCGAACAAAGTTTCGATCATTGTGTCAAACTGAACCATGGATAAGCTCAATTTTTTCAAAGCCAAATGTTTGTTGGCGATTCATAGAGCGAACATCGGGATACAGGATCCACAGTATCAACCTGCTCTGAGGAAGCGACGCACTGCAACATTCTCTGCAATCTCGGCCATTCGAAGGAGTTTCGAACCTACCGAAGCAGGAGCCTCATCCAGGATACACCGGAGTGAAGAGTGTCTTCAAGTAGAGGTTTGCCATTTGAAATAACTTGCCATGTCTCTTATCAGAAAATTGGTGAGTATTCGCCTGTTCGCGTGCGTTTCTTTTTTGACTTCCAAATAAATTCCCCATGAATGTGTCAATGTATATACATAAGCACTTCCCGATTGTCTGACTGCAGTGGAGCAACACAGGGTGGCATAATTTGTATCTCTAAGGTTGCGACCTTGGCATCACTTCGTTCTCGTCGCCGGTCTTGCAGGGCATCTCGTACATTGCTCTCGAACAACCTCCATACTTCGGTCTGTCTGATCTTTGGTACTAACTTTCGTGTACTTTCTCATTTTCTCTCCTTCTTTCTCCGTGAATATGTAAATGTATGTAAACGAACACTTCCCGATTGTCTGGGATCCAGCAAGATGTCGCCAAACCCACAACCTTTCCCAGGCTAGAACTTTCACACAAGATAGCCCAAATAGGGCTGCTAGCTTTTCGATACGCTTTGTCACATTATCACTTAATCTTTTTCTCCCACCTGCCAGGTGAGGGTTGTTAGATTTTATGTCAATTGCCTCATCTCCTCCTCCTCTTCTTCTCCTCCTGCCGGACCTCAACCACGATCATCCACCCCCAGTGTTCCCTGCCGGACTGCAACCACGATTATCCACGCCCAGTGTTCCCTACCGGACCTCAACCACGATCATCCACACCCAGTGTTCCCTGCCGGACCTCAACCACGACCATCCAACCTCAGTGTTCCCTGCCGGACCTCAACCACGACCATCCACGCCCAGTGTGCCCTACCGAACCTCAACCACGACTATCCAGATAGAATGCCAGAAGATATCCCAAATAGAATGCCAGATAGAATGCCAAGAGATATGTCAGAAGATATGCCAGAAGATATGCCAGATAGAATGCCAGTAAGAACATGTATAAAGGTCATGGTGGGGATCCAGATAGAATGCCAGAACATATGCCAGAAGATATGCCAGATAGAATGTCAGATAGAATGCCAGAAGATACGTTAGAAGATCTGTCAGAAGATATGCCAGAACATATGCCAGAAGATATGCCAGTGAGAATGCCAGAAGATATGTCAGAAGCTATGCCACAACATATGCCAGAAGATATGCCAGATAGAATGCCAGATGAATCAGTACCAGTTGAAGCAAGCCCTATCAGCGCTATAGGTCTACTGAGTCTGGCCTAGACGATCTGCCCAGGATTCTTGAGCTGCCAGAAAGAAACACATTGGAATTTCAAACTAAAAAATGAAAGTATTCCAGATCTCTGGTCCCACCTCCAAGAGATGAGTTGTGCCCAGCCATGCCTGTCCGGTTGTTGGACTTGAGAGTTCCAAGTTCACCTATGCAGCTGTGGAAGACACCAACCAGCTGTGCGGCTTCGCCAACATTGCTGTTTCATTGGGACTTTTCATGAGATATCTATAGTCTAGAGATATTACATGATATGACTGTGTTGTTTCCCTCCGGCAATGAGCACGTGGGGTGATGGAAAGTCTCAAGAAAAAGTTCTAAATCAATTGCTGGCACCATTTAATATCATTGTACTGTCATTCAATGATCCGGTACCTCTTCTGGACTTCCCCAATCAACTGGATCGTTCCATTGGATTCGAAGGGAAGTCACCGGTCTCAGTGCAGTGGCAATGGAGAGGATGGGAATGCCCACAAAGACCTCCAACTTAGGTCTAGGGTATAGAGTGATGAAGGATGGTTTCGGAGGAAACCCTTGGACCTTCTTGGAACTGACATGAACTACACATAATTCGCATAATTCCCAAGTTGAGATTGGATGCCCCGCGATGTCTTTGGATCTCACCAAACTCTGGCTGATCTGATCAAACGTCAACTGAGAAGCTGGCAAATGCGACGGCTGAACCTAGAAAGTCACCAGCCCAAAGGCACTGTGCCACTGTGCCGAAAGACAGCCCGCTGACCTCAATATGATGACCTCCTGTCCACACGGGAACCTGGCACAACCATTCTCGTGACCAGGCGGGGTCACTCTGAGCCGATTCACAATTGATCCACGAGAGGGACAAGTGTGCCTCTGCACTTGGGCTTGATGTGGTCAATGTGGCACACACCTCACCCACAAAACCAAATGTTGCTAGCTAGATAAATACTCAAGCAGCTTGTGTTTGTTGCTGCCTTTTAATATGTGTACTTAACGTTTTTGAAGCGTTGCCAATCTTGAAACACTTCCTCTACGAAGAAGGACTCGCCTGTGAAGGTGCCAGTGCCTCATTGGCCTCAAGCAATGCCCCGGACTCAATAGAATTTCATCGAATCATATCAAATTAAATCGGAATACGCTAAGCTTTTTGCTTGTCAAACATTGAGCTCCAACCGGCTGCCTTTACCACAACAAACTGCAGAATGAATTGTCACTCCACTGGATGACCTGACCAGACTCTCGGTTGCAAATCTGCTGCCGCATTTGTTTACAGTCTAAATCTCATACCCTGAGCTCAAATCAACCCTGAGCTCATACCAGTGCCTCTACTTGTGCTACCCTGCAAAGATGCAGCCAAAACAATTTGAAGCGGAGCTGACCTTGCTGGCAAGGAAAGTTGAAGCGTACTGCAAAGACAAACTGTTCGGAATTTGAGACCAATTATGACATTACATGAAAATATTACCAAAAGATTTAGAAGAGCCACAAACATCACCACAGGTATCGCAACACCGAGATGCACCGAGCACCGGGCTGCACCGCGAATATCGCTGGCCCTCTTGGCTTCAGGATGCAGGTCTCTCCCACAGTCTCGAAGCTGAAGAAATCTTCCATTGCCACCTGTCAACGTCTCACAATGTATGGTCAAAAAAGATATTTGTTGTATGGCTGTACTATGCTGTACTTCATCGTCTAAAGTTAACTTTCATTCTTGATGTATCGCATAATATTGTAATATATTCCTGCGCTGGATCTGCAACTCTGTTTTCCAGCCTCCATGGGCTCACATTGCACCTCTGGCAGTAGCTCTGTCCAGTGCGGCTGGATGAGAAAGTCTTGCTCAAGATGGATACCCTATGATCAATCTATGATCCCTTTGCTTTGTAATTCAAGACAGTAGGCAATTTTTTTTCAGGGGTGGATATCGTCCAAGACATTTGCGGGGTGGATATCTTCCCAAGTTCTGCTGCAAACCCACGAACGGTCCAACAGTTGGAACCTCGGCTGCTCATCTTGTTTCCACAATGCCAAATCATCTTATATTCTCATAACTCACCAGTAATGGTCACTTGGATCCGCACGTTTCACTTCTTGAGACATTCTCCTGTGCTGACTTTGGTGAGATGTCAAGGCACCCAGATTCTGCTGGTGCAGTATGATGCAGTGGTGCTCCTGCCACAACACCTCCACCAAATCGAACTTTCTCCAGCAGCCTGTTGAACAGACAGTCATTCACGTGTGATGTAAAGATACATCCATACAGAACGCACACGTCACAAACATACATGTATATATATATATATGTGTATATGCATACGTATACGTATACGTTTACGTATACGTATATGTATATGTATGAGTATATGTATATGTATATGTATGTATATGTGTATATATATATATATACCTATCTACATATATGTAGATATGAGTGTATATATATATATCTGTAGATATGTTTCATTATATATCATTATACTCGTCATCATCATCGTTATCATCATCACCATCATCACCATTGTCACCATCATCAGCATCATCATCTTCATCACCATCATCATCATCATCATCATCATTATCAACATCATCATCATCATCCAATTGCTAATCCCATCAAAAAACATCATTTATGCGTTTCAGGCAACCATTTTAGAATCGAATAGCTACACACCCACACACTTATACATCCATCCTTGCATTCCACTCGTGCCCCAGTCGACCAAGCACCACCAATTTTTCTGCCCTGGCACAGATCCGTGATCCTGGCAACACCAGACCGATGCACTCCCCACATCTACTTCTGCACCATCTAGAAGGGGCTAAATTTCGCTCCTTTTTTTTGTGTTGGCCCAACCACCCAATGGGTAACTAAGAAGGTGTGAGGATGCTGGTGACAGAGTGTTGTAGCCAGCGTTTCGCTTTATACTGTGGCTCTGTTGGCGGACGCATTGATTTCAGATTTCACATAGATTAGGGATGAGTTTGAACGCATCTCTTGAAAGAATGCAGCAGGTCATGTGATTGGATCGTCCATGTAATATATGCTGTTTATAACCATGCAGCGATGTATTTGAAGGAACTCAGATCACTGCCACGCCTCCCAACACACCAAGCAATCGTCTGCAGCATCTGCGTTGCATTCGGAGTGCCGGAAAATACACATCCAAGACAGATATTTCTCACTCCTTCTTTGTCAGCTCTTGTAGCTTTTTATCTCTTGCCTGGACACTGCCCTACTCTATCCTGACACTACCTCACATGAACTCCTTGAATCAGCCTGTATCATCAACCCATCGGTGCGAACAATAACAACCACCATCATTTCTTGCCTTGAGTCAAGCCAGCAGCACCACTAGTGTTCGATCCAAAAACACTTCGAATACCCAAATTCATGCTACCTCTCGGTCCAAAACACCTTCGTACGCTTCTTCGTCCCCTTCAAGTCTAGGCAAAGCATCTAC